GCATGCGCGGTTTATTGATTATCCCATGATTGGGGAGTTTGGAATCCTGAATATTAGACCTTGATTATTCATCTTTACATGTTATTTCACTTCGGTCAATGATTACGATATAAGAATGGCAACTTAATGTTGAGACCCCGTTGTTCAAGTTTGATATCTATGTCTATCATTTTCATTCGTTCCCTTGGATTGTACCCGAGATTTTTATGGTTACCTATTGGGCCTTAGGCTCACCCCTATTGTTTCTGAATCCACTCGCAGGTCATACAACTGGCAAGGATAAGGGCATTGCAGACCCTGAATTTGAAGATTAGCTCCAGAGGAAAATCTTAATAGGGGTTAATTTATGTTCACTTTTGCAGTACCTTTGACTTATAAAACATGTATTAATGTTGTAGCCACTGCTATTATTGTAATGTTTTGTATTACCCTTTAGTTCTCTTCTATTGTGGTATTCAATGGACTCTGCTGTCAACCTCGTGATCTTGGGTATTGCATATGCATCTCTACTGCTTTATTTTTCGCCCTTCAGTATATCTATGTTGTGATGTGCATAAAGATTTAGCAGGTCGACCCTTCTTATTACAGATAGGTCATGCTCAAATTTTTATGTACCTCTCAGAGGAGGGGCGTTACACAGTGGTATCAGAGCACAGGTTGACACCTTAAGAGTCCTATATTGAAATACCTAGGGGACGTAGGGATCTTTCTGGTCGGTGTCAAACACCAGTCATGGAGGAATTATCTTTCCATGACATTCTTGTGATATCTTGATCTCTATTAGGTTGGTTTTGTACCATTGGAGGCTGATAGATGACTTTTGGCAGGAATGGCAGATTCAGATTCGAGTGTTTCTGAGATGGAAGGATCCATTAGTAGCAGGGAGGTGTGGTCAACACTTTCAGAGGATTGGGAGATCAGCTCTGAGGAGACTGACCCAGAGGAGATTTTTGGGGAGGGAGTGGATTACTCCCCGGTTGGCCATCATACCCGTGGGCGATTGGCAAAGAGGGAC